CCCGACTATTTTTTGGTTGCAGCCGTCATTGTTGTTTGGCGGGTCCGGGCTGGGGATTCGAACCCGCCACCTTAGGTGTACATGGCTGGCGCCTTAGCTGGTTGAGCTATAGGCGTCGAGCCTATTCCTCTATTTCTAACATTGCTTCATGTTATGTGTTTTCTTCTTTTTTTTTCCATTGAGGCATTTTATTTTTAAGGATGTATTACATCCCTAGAAAAAGAATCCCAGGATTTTCCCTCTGTGTGTTTTCTTGCTTCTTCGTGATCCATGATACCAGCCGAAGTTGTCAGTACAATGAAACCAAACTGGCAGGATGGGAGTAGATTATTCTGCCATTTTTCTAGATCTTTGAGTTGCACATCAAACCTGGGGCTGATCGCTCCACACTTGTTTAATCTGCCTGTGAGGTTCACAACAATTTTCCCAGCTCTGTGATCGTCGATGATTTCAAATTAGAAACTGGAGAATGACTTGGGAACGTGGCTTTGTAAGAACCTGGCATTTGCCTCTCTTTTTGGCATTGTTGATGCCAAAGCCATTCATGCACACCATTATGGCGGCACAGAAAGATGGCGGAAATTGCTGTTTTCCTTAATACCCAAATTAACCATCATCTCTCTATAAGATGAAAATAAGAACAAAAGCACATCCTTTCAAATATGTAAAGGATGAATGCATTCTGTTATTTGTGCTTTAAATAGAGAGAAACTCTAAACATGATAAGCTCATATTCATTTTATAAAATACTGCTTTAAAAAAATATAAATTCATATTCAGGAAGAAACAGACAAAGCCAGAAACATCTTCCATCACCACAATGGTACCATTCAGGGACATGCAAGATCTAGTCTGGACTAGACAATTCAAAATGACTACTTTATTGTGGTACTGCCATTAATGTTGTTTAAGAAAAATCAGAAGCCTTCCAGACAAAGTGGTGGAAGTATGATACTAAATATACTGCTCAAATACTAAAGATACTGCTCAGGGATGGAGCTAACAAGAACTACCAACTAGGGCAGGCGTCCTTTAACTACGGCCCGTGGGCCACATGCGGCCCGCCTAGGACATTTATCCAACCTGCCAGGTGTTTCTGCCACCGCTGTCTGTCCTGCTTAGCAGCCAACTCATCCTGGGGCCTGCAGTCCGGCTCTCCAACAGTCTGAGGGACAGTGAACTGGCCCCCTGTTTAAAAAGTTTGAGGACCCCTGAACTAGGGAGTCAGGAAACTCAAGTAACATTCTGACTTCTGAACAAATCCCTAACTTCCTTTCCTGTGCTAAAAATCTGCAATTTTTAACAGTAATGCTAATTTTAAAATTATCTTTACTTACCATCTGGGGCAGAAAATAATTCATAAAGAGCCTGAGCAAGGATATTCACAACAAAGGAATGAGATGTTTTTCTTGCCCAATAGAATGATTTTTTGGCCTAAAAAAGAAAAAGATCAATTAGATGGTAAGAGGAAATAAAAGACCTTGATATTTATAACCTCCTCAAACTGATATTTATCCTAAGGGCTATATGCAAATAATACTGCCTTATGTTTATCATTTACAAAACAAAAATATCTCCAGAGCAATATATTCTATGACACTGAAGTTGAATTTACAACCACTATGAGCAAGATAGCCATGACAATCCAGTATTATATAAAATTCAAATAGAGAAATATAGGAATTCTGTAAGATTCACAGGTTGCAAGTCAGGTTCTTTAAGCCTAATAACCATTACGAAGCATCATATTCCCAAGTACAGATCTCCACATCAGAGCCCCACTGCTCTTAGACCCCAGAAAGAAATCCATTTTGAGACATTTTTATCTAAGAATAATATCTTACCTGGAAAATAGCTGCATCATCATAAAGGTCAGGGATACCCGTTAGCAGTTTTCTCCATAGTTTTATATCTTTAAAAGCAACAGTCATTCCTCCACCAGTAAGAGGATGCCTTATATTATATGCATCTCCCAAAAGAAGAACACCTATGAAGAGAGGTAATTAAGATTATGACATCCTGAAGCATCCCTTGAGACAAAAAAAAAAAAAAAATGACTACTCTGTTAGTTTATAAAGATTATTGATGTAAGATAGTAAATAAGAAAAAATGTGAAAACAGAAGGAAACATATCATGACTAAAATTTGTTGAGGCAGATATTCAAGAGTTAACTGAATCAGTGTTAATGAGTACCTAGGAAGTGCCAGGCACTGGGGGTACAGCCAGAACAAGAGTATGGTCTCTGCCCTCATGAAATACACATGCAAATCTAGAAGTCCAACAATGTCAATACACTTGTAAGGCTTCTTTCAAATTAAAATGTGGATATAATAGAATCTACAGGTATCTTACAGGTATCCAGACATAAAAAGCAAGTCTTCTACAAGTGGGAAAAAAAAAAATCAAGATGTCAGCAAGTAACTGGCAAAAATAAGCCAGAAACCTAGAATTTATATCAAGATATCTCATTCTCTTCCTACAACATCCAATTAGTCGCTGGGTTTCATACATTCTACATCCTAGATATTACCCAAATCCATTCACTACTTTTCATTTTACAACTCTTAATTCAGTCCTTTTATCATTACTTACATGGAATAATTAATGTTTTACTCTGAACTTTTCTCCAAACAATCCTCCACAAAAATGTCACAGTAATATTCCTAAAATAGAAATCTAATCATGCCACTACCTTGTTTAAAACTTTTCAGGCTATGTGTGGTGGCTCACACCTATAATCTTAGCACTTTTGGAGGCTGGAACAGGAGGACTACATGAGTCCAGGAGTCTGAGGTCACAGTAAGCTATGACCACACCAATACACTCTAGCCTGGGCAACAGAACAAGATCCTATCTTAAATAAAGAGAAAAGAAAAACACAAAACAACTTTTCAAAGAACTATTGGCACTACTCAATAAGCTCAGCAAGACGTCAAAATACAAGATAAATATGCAAAAATCAATTCTAGGGTGGCACCTGTGGCTCAAAGGAGTAGGGCACCAGCCCCATATGCTGGAGGTGGTGGGTTCAAACCCAGCCCCAGCCAAAAAAAAAGCAAAAATCAATTCTATTCCTACACACTAGCAATAAGCAACCTTGAAATTTAGAATACTATTCCATTTACATCAGCACCAAAAGAAGTAAAACACTTAGAAATAAATGTAACAAAACAAATGAAAAACTTACACTCTGGAAACTACAAAATATTGTTTAAAGAAATATGCCCTTACATTTATAATCAATTGAAACTTGACAAGAGTACCAAGACAATTCAGTGGGTAACCAATAATCTTTAACCCATGGAACTGCAACAATGGATATCCACATCTAAAGTAACGAAGGTGGACCCCCTCCTCACAACAAACACAAAATTTAACTCAAAATGGACCAAAGACCTATATAGATGTAAGAGCTAAAACTATAAAACTCTTAAAAGTCTTCTTAAATATGACATCAAAATCACAAGCAAAAGAAAAAAATAAACCAAACTTGATGAAAATGAAAAACTTTATACTGCAATGGACACCATCAAGTGGAAAGAAAACCCACAGAATGAGAAAAACGTTGCAAATCATGTATTTAATAAGGGATTTGTATCTAAAATACATAGAAAACTCTTCTTTTTTCTTTTTTTTTGTAGAGACAAAGTCTCACTTTATTGCCGTTGGTAGAGTGCCATGGCATCACACAGCTCACCGCAACCTCCAACTCCTGGGCTTAGGCTATTCTCTTGCCTCAGCCTACCAAGTAGCTGGGACTACAGACGCCTGCCACAACGCCCGGCTATATTTTTTAGGTTGTTGTTGCAGTTTGACCAGGGCTGGGCTGGAACCCGCCACCCTCAGTATATAGGGCTGGCACTGTATCCACTGTGCCACAGGTGCCACCCTACATAGAGAACTCTGAAAACTCAACAATATTTAACAATGTCCACTGGATATCCAAATATCATGATACCCAAAACACAGCCAGGCTTATCAATTCTCTCAACTAATGTGAATGGTTTAAATTGTCCTCTAAAGAGGCACATGCTGGCTGAATGGATACCTAAACTCCGACAGGTTATCTGCTGAATACAAGAATCTCACCTTAAAAGCTTAAAGGATAAAAATAGACTCAGGGTAAAGGGATGGACTTGTATAATACAGGCAAATGGAAACCAGAAAAAAGCAGGGGTTGCAATTTTAGTAGCAGATACAATTGGCTTTAAACCAAGAAAGACTTATTTGTCAAGGGAAACACCCCACATGAAGAGATTTCGATAATTAACATTTATGCAGAATGCTCCTCAATTCATAAGGCAGACCCTAGTGGATGTGAACAACTTGATCCAGAATGCTCCTCAATTCATAAAGCAGACCCTAGTGGATATGAACAACTTGATATCTTCTTACACTATAATAGTTGGAGATTTTAACACCCCTTTGACAATTTTGGATAGATCCTCCAAGAAGAAACTAAGCAAAGAAATATTAGACTTAAACCTGACCCTAGAACAAATGGACTTTACAGACCTCTACAGAACATTTCACACTAATAAAACTGAATATACATTCTTCTCATTAGCCCACGAGTCATCCTCCAAAATAAATCATCTCCTAGGACACAAGTCTAACCTCAACAAATTTAAAAGTATAGAAATTATTCCTTATATCTTCTCAGACCACCATGGAATAAAAGTTGAACTCAACAGCAACAGGAATCTTCATATTCAAACAAAGTCATGCTAAATAATCTTAGGCTGAATGATAGCTGGGTCAAAGACAAGATTAAGAAGGAAATCACCACATTTTTGGAACAAAATGATAATGAAGATACAAATTATCAAAACCTGTGGGAGGGATATTTATAGCATTGGAATCCTTTATCAAGAAAACAGAGACGAAGCCAACAACTTAATGGATCATCTCAAGCAACTGGAAAAGAAAGAACATTATAACCCTAAACCCAGCAGAAGAAAAGAAATAACCAAAATTTATTTCTTTAAAAGAATTAAATGAAATTGAAAACAAAAGAATCATTCAGAAGATCAACAAAACAAAAAGTTGGTTTTCTGAAAAGATTAACAACATTGATAAACCTTTGGACAAACTAACCAGAAATAGAAACATAAAATCTCTAATATCGTCTATCAGAAACGATAAAGGAGAAATAACAACAGACTTCAGAAATTCAAGAAATCCTCAATGATTACTACAAAAATCTCTATTCCCAGAAATATGGAAATCTGAAGGAAATGGACCAATACCTGGAAGCATGCCACCTGCCTAGACTCAACCAGAAAGAATTAGAAATCTTGAATAGACCTATATCAACCACTGAAATAGCATCAACAATACAAAATCTCCCTAAAAAGAAAAGTCCAGGACCAGATGGCTTCACATCTGAATTCTATCAAACCTTTCAAGAGGAACTAGTACCTATATTACACGTTTCCAAAGCACTGAAAAAGAAGGAATACTTCTCAACACATTCTATGAAGCAAATACCACCCTGATAAACAAACCAGGAAAGGACCCAACAAAGAAAGAAAATTATAGACCAATATCGTTAATGAATATCGATGCAAAAATATTCAGTAAGATCTTAGCAACCAGAATTCAACAACACATCAAAAAAATTACACCATGATCAAGTTGGTTTTATTCCAGGGTTACAGGTTTGGTTCAACATATGCAAACCTATAAATCACATCAATAAAATAAAAAACAAAGGCCATATGATTTCTCAACTGATGCAGAAAAAGCCCTTGATAATATACAGCATCCTTTCATGATCAGAATTCTTAATAAAACAGGCATAGAAGAGATATTTCTTAAACTAATAGAGGCCATCTACAGCAAATCCACAGCCAATATCATATTGAATGGTGTAAAATTAAAGACATTTCCACTCAGATCAAGAACCAGGCAAGGATGCCCACTGTCTCCACTGCTATTCAACATAGTAATGGAAGTCTTAGCCATCGCAATCAGGCAAGAGAAGGTGATCAAGGGTATCCAAATAGGGTTGGAGGAGATCAAACTCTCACTCTTTGCTGATGATATGATCCGATACCTGGAAAATTTCAGAGACTCAACTTCAAAACTCTTAGAAGTCATCAAGGAATACAGCAGTATCTCAGAATACAAAATCAATACTTATAAGTCAGTAGCTTTTATATATGCCAACAACTGTCAAGCTGAAAAATCAGTCAAGGACTCTATTCCTTTTACAGCAGTGCCAAAGAAGATGAAATATCTGGGAATTTACCTAACAAAGGATGTGAAACAGCTCTATAAAGAGAACTATGAAACTCTGAGAAAAGAAATAGCTGAAGATGTTAACAAATGGAAAAACATACCATTCTTATGGCTGGGAAGAATCAACATTGTTAAAATGTCCATACTACCTAAAGCAATCTACAGATTTAATGCAATCCCTATTAAAGCACCACTGTCATACTTTAAAGAACTTGAAAAAATAGTACTTCATTTTATATGGAATCAGAAAAAACCTCAAATAGTAAATACATTACTCAGAAATAAGAACAAATCAGGAGGTATCTTATTATCAGACTTTAGGCTATACTGTAAATCTGTATGTGATCAAATCAACCTGGTACTGGCACAAAAACAGCAGTAGATTTATGGAACAGAATAGAGAACCAAGAGATGAACCTAGCTACTTACTGTCATTTGATCTTTGACAAGCCTATCAAAAATATTCAGTGGGGGAAAGACTCTTTATTTAACAAATGGTGCTGGGTGAACTGGCTGGAGACCTGTAGAAGACTAAAACTGGACCCCCACCTTTCACCATTAACAAAAATTGATTCTCACTAGATAAAAGATTTAAACTTAAGGCACGAAACTATAAAAATACTGGAAAAAAGTGCAAGGAAAACACTTGAAGAAATTGGTCTGGGAGAATATTTTATGAGGAGGACCCCCCGGGCAACACCCAAAAATACATTACTGGGATCTGATTGAACTAAAAAGCTTTTGCACAGCCAAGAGCACAGTAAGTAAAGCAAACAGACAACCTTCAGAATGGGAAAAGATTTTTGCAGGTTATGCTTCCGACATAGGTCTGATAACTAGAATCTACAGAGAACTCAAACTAATCAATAAGAAAAGAATACATAACCCCATTTCTATGTGGGCAAGAGACTCTGATGAAGGGAGGTGCATGGCCTACAAACACATGAAAAAATGCTCATTATCCTTAACATCAGAGAAATGCAAATCAAAACCACTTTGAGATATCATCTAACTCTAGTTCAGATTAGCCCACATCAAAAAATCCCCAAACTACAGATGTTGGTGTGGATGTGGAGAGAAGGGAACACTTCTACACTGCTGGTGGGAACACAAGCTAATACGACCTTTTTGGAAAGAAGTTTGGAGAACACTCAAGGAACTAAAAGTAGACATACGGTTCGATCCTGTAGTTCCTCTACTAGGTATATACCCAGATGATCAAAAATCATTTTACAACAAAGACATTTGCACCAGAATGTTTATTGCAGCCCAATTCATAATAGCCAAGACAGGGAAATAGCCCAAGTGCCCACTGACCCATGAATAGATTAACAATTTGTGGTATATGTACACCATGGAATACTATGCAGCCATAAAAAAGACGGAGACTTCACATCTTTTAAGTTTACCTGGATGGAGATAGAACATACTCTTCTTAATAAGGTATCTCAAGAATGGAAAAAAAAGTATCCAATGTACTCAATACTACTATGAAATCAATATTATCACCACCTACACACTCATACGAATGGCAAAACATAACTATAGTCCAGAAAGTGGAAGAGCAGAGGAGAGAGGGGAGGAGAGGGGGGATGTGGGAGAAGGGAGGGTATTGGGGGAAGACCTCACCTAATGTGCATGATGCAGTGGTACATTTCAAAACTATTAAGAAATGAGTATAATTGTGATAGATGTGTTACCTAGTTCAATGTAAGCATTTTATGTTGTATATCGAAGCAGTATCCTGAACCCCATAAATGCATCAATGTACAAAATTATGATTTAATTAAAAATAATTGAAAAAAATAAAAAATAAAATCCATGTGTAATGTGAAAAAAAAAAACCTCAACAATACTAACTTTTAAATCTGCCCAATTAAAAACGTGCAGTCTAAATACATATTTCTCCAAAGAAGTTATAAATAAGTGGCCTATAAGCCCATGAAAAGATGTTCAACATCATTATCCGTAAGTGAAATGCAAATCAAAAGCACAATGAGATATCACTTCACACTTCGTAAGATGACTATGTGTACATACAAAGGCAGACTGTATATAAGTGTTGTCAAGGCTGTGGAGAAACTAGAATCCTCATACATTGCTAATGGCAATGTAAAATGGGACAGCCACTCTGGAAAATAGTCTAGCTAGAGGTGTCCAATCTTTTTTCTTTTCTCTTGCACATTAAATACGTAAACACTAAGGAAAGCTGATTAGCAAGAAACAAAAAGGTTTGTGCATATTTTTTGTGACATCTGACACCACAAATAAGCAAAAAGAATCTTCCCTCCCAAAATCAGCAAGCAGCCCATGAGCCACAGGTTGGACATCCCTGGCTAGCAGATACTCAGTGTTAAACACAGTTACCATACGACCCAGGAATAATACACCTAGGCATATACCCAAGAAAAATCCAAATACATGTCCACATAAAAAATCATATGCAGATGTTCACAACAGTATTGTTTGTAATAATCAAAAAGTGGAAATAACCCAAATGTCTATCAATTGATTAAAGATAAACAAAATTAATGTATCTATTCAATGGAAGACTATTTGGCCATAAAAACAAGTGAAAAATTGAATGTACTACCATATGAATGAACTTCAAAAACATTGTGCTAAATGAAAAGCCAGTTACAAATGGCCGTGTGTCCATTCCATTTATAGGAAGCATCAAGAACATGGAAATCAGTGGTAGCCAAGGGCTGAGTGCTGGAAGGAAATGTGAAGTGACTGCTCATGGGCATGAGGTTTCTTTTGAAGATAACAAAAGTGTTCTAAATCTGCTTGTGGTGTTGGCTGCACATACCAACAAAGACACTAAAAAACTGCTGCCTTGTATATTATCAATGGGCAAACTGAATGATTTATGAATTGCATCTCAATAAAGCTGACTTTAAATGACCTTCTACTGTCTACAGCAGCAGTTCTCAACCTGTGAGTCATGACCCCTTTGGGGGTCAAACGACCCTTTCACAGGGGTCGCCTAAGACCATCCTGTGTATTAGATATTTACATTATGATTCATAACAGTAGCAAAATTACAGTTATGAAGTAGCAACAAAAATAGTTTTATGGTTGGAGGTCACCACAACAATGTAGTTGTGCCCCTCTCCCAGGAAGTATGCCATATACCTTTACATTGTGCCCATCAGGTGAGCGCACACCAACCCCCTACTCCCTGATCCCCTCTTCTCCCTCCTTCCTCCCCCTCCCCCATCTTGAATTAATTTGAGTTTTTCTCTTTTGTGGGTATATATTCATTTACTGGCTTCATATTAGTATACATTGGATTACCTAATGCTTTTCCATCCTTGCGATACTTTACTAAACAGAATATTCTCAGGATTAAATACTAAACATATATCCTATCTACCCACCACGCTGAGACCAGCTCTATGTTCCAGCCATAGGAAACTAACTGCTTGAGTTTCTTGAAAGTGTCACCATTATTACTCAGCACCTTGATCTTAGGAGATGTTAGTCAATCAGCTGATAAGTTCCTCATCTTACTGTCCACCTCATGAATTCATCCTCCAGGCCCAACTCCAGCTTTATTTCCAGGCAATGTCTTCCTAACCACTCTTCTCACTTCACAAGCTTCCCTCCCTACCTTGCTCTCCCCTCCACAATGAATCTATGGTACTATGAATGGGGTTTTAGTATAAAATTTATCAAGAGTGTTGTGAATTTCTGTCTACATTCCTATCTAAAAAAGTACCCCCTCCAGGTCAAGGGTTGTCTTTTAACTGTTGTATCCCCTGGCTCGGCGCCTATAGCTCAACCGGCTAAGGCGCCAGCCATGTACACCTAAGGTGGTGGGTTCGAATCCCCAGCCCGGACCCGCCAAAACAACAATGACGGCTGCAACCAAAAAATAGCCGGGCGCTGTGGCGGGCACCTGTGGTCCCAGCTACTTGGGAGGCGGAGGCAGGAGACTCGCTTGAGCCCAGGAGTTGGAGGTAGCTGTGAGCTGTAATGCCACAGCACTCTACCCAGGGGGATAGCTTGAGGCTCTGTCTCAAAAAAAAAAAAAAAACTGTTGTTATCCCCTAAGACTAGCACAGAGGCTTCTATGGTGACTCAGTATCAAATAATAACTAAATATATCACAAAACTAATTTTAGTATTAGTATTACATTAATCCATAGTAACCAATTCTATCCCATATGTTATTACCAACAATATAAATTTAATCACATATATGCCATTTGCAATACTGACTCCGTTGCAGAGTAAGTCCAATAAAATAATACCTCGTTTATTCACTGGTGAAGGAGGAAGGAAGCTTGCTGGCATGGACCTCAAACGAGAATTCTCAGTAGCTTCTAGGAAGGGTTCTTTCAGGTGATCTGCAATAAATCCCAAATAACCAAATAAATCGTTTATAGCATTTCAAATCCAGATATCACATATTTTCTTATCAAGCATTAACAAGTGATTACTATATATCTATAATGGTCATTACATATGTTCCTCATGATAAACTAAGAATTTTTTTTTTTGAGACTTTGTTGCCCAGGCTTGAGTGCCATGGCATCAGCCTAACTCATAGCAACCTGGGTTCAAGCAATCTTCCTGCCTCAGCTTCTGAAGTAACTGGAACTACAGGCAAGTAATGGGGACTACAGGTATCTGCCACAATGCCCAGCTAAGTTTCCTATTATTTTTTTTTTAGTAGAGACAGGGGTCTCATTCTTACTTAGGCTGGTCTCAAACTCTTGAGCTCAAGTGATTCTCCAATCTCAGCCTCCCAGAGTGTTAGATTACAGGAGTGAGCTACTATGTCTGGCCTACTAATTAATTTATTAATAAAATTATTTAGGGCAGTGCCTGTGGCTCAAAAGAGTAGGGCGCCAGCCCCATATGCCAGAGGTGACGGGTTCAAACCCAGCCCCGGCCAAAAACTGCAAAAAAAACAGAGAAATAAATAAAATAAAATAATTTATTAAGCACTTAGCTATTCTTGCTAAGGAATGAGTAAGAATCAAAGAAAAAACTAATATAAATAGGCATGAGCCAGACACGGTGGCACACCTCATAATCCTAACCAACCACTCAGGAGGCTAAGGTGGGAGGAGGATCCATTGAGCCCAGCAGTTCTAGGCTACAGTAAGCTATAATCACGCCACTTGCACTCCAGCACAGACAACAAAGAAATGAGAAGGAGAATGAGGCAAATTCAGATGAGATAAGATAGGGAGAAAAACACCCATTTCTCTTCTAAATATTAACAGACATTAGGTATCACAACGATATTTTATTGTAACAACATATCCTTATAATATCAAAGAAAAACCCATTTCTCTTCTAAATATTAACAGACAGCTTTCATATGTATTATAATATTTTATTTATTGTAATCAACATATGCTTATAATATCATATGAAACATACTACCAAATCCCAAACAGCAAGAGGTATAAAAAGAATTAAATTTAAAAGCATAGGCCCCCTCTACCTCTCTGAGCTTCAATTTCCTTATACAGAAAATGAAATGGTTGGATTAGCTCATTTCTGAGATACTTTCAGTTTTAAAGTTTTGTGTTTTCACTTGTATAGAAAATGAGTTGTCATACAGTTCCTAGTACAATCTGGGAGTAGAGGAGTGGAATGCCTTTGTTGAAACTATTTCATTCATAAAAGGAGTAGAATCTTGGTAACCTACCTAATATTAATATAAACCTACAAAAGGTTTCTACCCATGATTTTAGGGCAATCTGCTCTAATTAACCACTGGATGAGAAAAAACACCAACTGTACAATAAAACAAAAATGAATGCTAAAAATATCAGGTAACGAATAATCCCTTTCCTAAATATGAATAACTAGTTTTCCCATCTGCAAGCTTCAAAAGGGGCTTAACTGAATGAAACTTCATTGAAATGTTCCCATATACATATGTTGAAAATGTCATTATTATAAATCTGATCGCTTTCTTTCTGTTAACTTGTTAGTTATTGAAGAGTGGTTTCACTTAGGTTTTTTTTTTTTTTTTTGTAGAGACAGTCTCATTTTATCGCCCTCGGTAGAGCACCGTGGCATCATACAGCTCACAGCAACCTCCAACTCCTGGGCTTAGGCGATTCTCTTGCCTCAACCTCCCGAGTAACTGGGACTACAGGCACCCACCACAATGCCCAGCTATTTTTTTGTTGTAGTTTGGCTGGGGCCGGGTTTGAACCCGCCACCTTCAGTGTATGGGGCTGGTGCCCTACCCACTGAGCCACAGGCGCCACCTGGTTTCACTTAGTTTTAAAAAACAACTTGAAAAAACTACAATTTTTAAACAAAAGATACTCATACCAAGAATGATTTCCTATTACTCCAATCATATAATTAACCATCAGAGTTTCCCTTCAATTTCATCAAAATCCTTAACAATTTTTTACATTTCTTTCCTATATCTTTCCAATTCTCAAAAAAAAACCCAAAAAAACTAGTACTATAAAAAACTATGGATCTGCAAAAAAGTAATTTTTATGGGTGTTTTTACAAAGAAGTCTAAATATGATGAAGACTTTGCATGCAAGTCAAAACTAAAATAATCACAAAGATCCCTTGCAGTGCTCATGTTCTGAGGGTAGGCATGTTGGAACAGTCATATATGAGACAGACAGACCTGACATCAACCTTGACTCTGTCATTGTTAATTGCTTACCCTGGGAGGAGCCAAGTAATCTGAGCCTTGGTTCTCTCATCTGTAAAACGGGAATTACACTTACCTCACAGGACAGTTGTATGGATTAAATGAAATCATGTTTGCCAAACATCTTATAACATTCATAAGTGGTAACTATAATTACTACACAAGTGCAAAAACAGTTAAGTGTAAGAGATTCTTTAAGAATTCAGAGACCTTAGACTGCTGTCCAGACTATCTTAAAAAATACTATCTATGCTAATATTAATTATTCTGAAAACTATGCTTTAATTATTAATATGATAAAAGCATATTTAAACTATTTATTTTTAATATGGAGTTTGTTTAAACTGTCCAGCTCCAGTGTATGTGGTTGAGTGGATGCATTTTTCACCTGCTGTCTTTATCTCTGGCCTATTTTAGACAGCTTTAGTAAGAAATGGAGACGAAGAACCTTTGTGAGATTTATTTCCAGACTGCACATTACAATGGGAGTATAATGCTATTTCTTACCAGGAATTTGTGGGTAAATTTTTTCAACCATATATTCTCTTAAATTACTTGGCATTTCTCCTCGAACATCAACAAGTACTCGAGTTTCATTGGATGAAATCTGGTAGATGAGAACTGGACTCGGATTAGCTAAAATAAGTTCAGCATGATTGGCTTTAAACTGTGGGGCATTCTAAAAATAAAATAAAATAAATATTTTAATAATTTTCAAATTTCAAGTTGCTTTTACTTTTCTCCAATTACATTCCTACAGTACCTTCATAAGAAAGCCAACGAAATGAGATGAAACAGAAACTTTATTGGTGATCAGGTTTTTCCTGAACTTGGAGAAAAGCCCATCTGCAACAACTGTCAATGGAGCATGGAGTTCCTATGAGAGATAAAGAATACTCAGCTAGATGGTCAGAAATACACAGCAAAAAGACCACTCTTTAAAAATGTGCATGAACACATTTAAATATGCTATCAAATAACATAGAGTAGTTGAAGACAATGCCATTGAAGACACTGTTAGGTGGGCTTAAGATACTGCACGACCAATGTTTACAGACACTTCCTGAGTCCCTGAGGATCATCTCCCTTTGCAGCCCTAGCAACCAATCTGGGATTACTCTCCTCTTTAATGGACAATTGGAGAATCAACTATAGGCAAACATGGATCATAAAAGACCAAATCTCATTACAAATTCCAAGAACTAGCTAGACTCCTTTATTCCAAACTTTTCTAACTTCATAGGGTGCTTTTTTATTAGAAGCTAGGGATTACAAGAATTTCTATACAAGTCAGGCATGGTTGCTCACACTGGTAATTCCACACTTCAGGAGGCCAAGGTGGAATTGAGGCCAGGAATTTGAGACTAGCATGGGCAACACTGCAAGATCCTGTCTCTATAAAAAATTTAACAATTAGGATGGCACCTATGGCTCAGTGAGTAGGGCGCCAGCCCCATATACTGAGGGTGGTGGGTTCAAACCCAACCCTGGCCAAACTGCAACAAAAAATTTGCCGGGCATTGTGGTGGGCGCCTGTAGTCTCAGCTACTTGGGAGGCTGAGACAAAAGAACCACCTAAGCCCAGGAGCTGGAGGTTGCTATAAGCTGTGATGCCACGGCACTCTACCAAGGGTGACAAAGTAAGACTCTGTCTCTAAAAAAAAAAAAAAAAAATTTTAACAATTAGCTAGGCACAGTGGTACAAGCCTGTAGTCCCAGCTTCTCTGGAGGCTAACACAGAGGATCATTTGAGCTCATGAGTTCAGGACTAGATCATGCCACTACTCTCCAGCCTGGCCAAAAGAGCAAGGGCCTGTCTCAAAAAAAGAAAAGTGTTTGTACAAATGGCTGTATATATTTATATTACTATACTATAAGCAGAGAAATCCTTGCAATCACCCCATTAGAGGGGATGATCTTATGGAGCAGGCCTAGAATTATGTGTTTTTTACCACAGTAAAATTCTTTTTTTTTTTTTTA